TAATGCTCCATAAATAAAGAAAACAATGTTGTTTTTGTGCATAACAAAAAGCTCACAATTGTGCAGTCAAAATGTAAACTAAAAGACGCTGAGTAACAAAGACAGATTTCACAGCTGCTCTGTTCCCAACTTCTACTGTGTGACTGACAGTCTTGAGTTTGAAATCCTCTTCGTAACCACGTCTCTTAACAGGTGCCATTTATGGTCCTTATACACAGTAGGGTAATATTACGTTGAAGCACAGTACGTATCACTCCGCGAAGCTCCTCGGTAGCCGTAATGCTCCGACAATCCATCAAGCGGTGCAGCACCGTAGCTTACCAAAGTCGTACTAAAACATTTTTGACAGATTGCTGAGCGCTGTGTACCACATAAAATCGGTTAGTGGCCATCAAGCACAACCAGAATTCATACATAAGGCGCGCTGTCAACTTTTGAGAAAATGCAAGGATTTTAGGCGTTAGCGTGGTTAGCTCGTTAGCGTGGTTAGCTAGCTAACACGTTGACGGCGTCTAGGGTTGCCAACTCCCTGAAAAATAAATAAGGGACACCTCGTGGCCAGGGCCGGGCAACCTAGTTGTCTTCACCCTTCCCATTGTGGTAGCTCTTTTTTGTGTGTGTGAAATTATTTTTTAACCATTTGACTTGAATTTGATTTAAGCAGATGCATATTCTTTGTGATATGACCATATGGGAAACAAATGATCATTTAGCCATTTATTTTTAGCTCAAAATGACAACATTAACACAATAAAACAGGTCTCCTTCTTAAACAGAAGCCTGTCATGCTTAACTTTTGAGAATATAAGTAAATCTTTCTTTAAAAGAACTCTGTCCTGCTTAACTTAAAATTATATAAATTAATAGAAAGCAATAGAACGAAAAATATTCTTGTAACAGTGCACATTTAGTGCATTTAGTACAATTGGCTTCAGTTGAGGTATTATTTCAGCTTTTCTAATGCTAATCAGCTGCTCCTGTTTGTAAACCCGCTTGTTCCCATGATTACGCATCTTAACTCATCATCATTATTCATCTATGTATTACTTTTATGTATTAGTCATCTGTTTGTTGTAATCATCTATCCTTACAGTTGTTTATTACACAAAATAAATTATATTATCACACTTCTGGCCACATAGCGCTGATATTCACTGCACATGCCCATTTTAACCTTAACCAGAGGGTTTAAAAAACAAACCAGTGTTTACATACCATATCTGCTTTTGCCGTGGCCTGGTGGACAAGAAATTGGTTAAGGGTTCCCCGAGCTTTCACGCCCCTCATGTTCTTCATGTGCCCACCATTAGAAGCATGCCTATGGAAAAAGTGCGCCGGCACACAGTGCAGTGCGCTTTATAGGTGTTATGGTGACCTTTTCCAGCCAGGTGTTTCCCTTTTCCCATTCCTCCCTGTGCTTTTGCAGCCTTTTTTTCTTTCTCTGAGCGAACAAACATTGCTGCTCTAATGCTGGGCTCACACTGTGCGATCTTTGGTCCATTTTGAGACGATTTTGAGTCGTGCGACTGATTTGGTGATCGGCCCGATTTTGGCCTTCATCGTGCATCGTGTAGTATACGTGGGGTAACGAGAAGCGATTAACACCTCGAGCAGCTCCCGATCATCAATCGCTCGTGAGCCGCTCACACTGCTCACGCGCAAACACGTAAACGTCGGTGAAAAAGACGGAGCAGCACGGCTGTGCAGCGTGTGATCTGGACACAAGCGATGGAGGCACAACTTGTAGAACTTTGGAAAGCTCATCCGAGCCTTTTCGATGTGGCATCACAAAATTATCACGACCACAACAACCGTTAAAATAGTTGGATTTACACTGCTGCTCATTCACAGCTGCCTGATCAATGTTTTTCATTAGCAATTTAGCAAAGTTGATGGTGGTGGTGGCGTGTCTGTGTGAGTGAAAGACAGAGAGAGCGACAAATTTTCTGTTATAACCTTCATGTTATGGAGGCACAGTGTGAGCACTCAGGTCGCATCAGAGCATCGGGCGGTATAGTGTGAGACCCTGCATCGTGACCTACCAACTTCTAACCCCTGCGAGTCAATCGTGCAGTTTGAGCAGGAGCTGAATAACGTGACTGAAAAAATCGCACAGTGTCTGCCCAGCTTTAGGTGTACTGTCGTCCGAGACTTGCACCGCAGTGTCGGCGTTTGTTTCCCTGTTGGCCATGCTTCTTGTTGTGGTCATCTGTTGTCTTCCGGTATTTTCTCCGCAAGCGACCTTTCCTCGACCAATGAGATGAGCGGTAATCTGAATTGTCATAAGTGTGCTGTCAGCTCATTGGTCACAAAGCAGGAGAGGGGCTGGGAATTATGTTTTCAAACAAAGCGTTAATTCCATAAACATTTATAGACTACTTTTGATTCTCACTGTATTACGGGACAAAGTGCGTCCCTTATTAGCTCAATACGGGACGTGTACTTTTGTTTCTAAATACGGGACGATTCCGTATTTTAAGGGACGGTTGGCAACCCTAACGGCGTCCAGCCCCACGCACGGGGCGATGTGCAGTAACTCGTTAACGGAGATTTGCCGTGTCCATCTTGTCGCTTCCTGCAGGTGAAGCGATGGGGGAGGAGGGGGAGCTGTGTTTATTGAAGGAGGGGCGAGGCCGAGTAACGTTGCGTAAAGACAAAAGTGGACGAAAGAGAGGCAAACTTGCGGCTCCACAAGTATAATTATAACGTAACATAGACTATATCGATATAAAGGATATTGTCACATCTTATATCTCGTATAAAAATATATCGATATTTTTTAAAAACTCGATATATCGCCCAGGCCTAGGGGGTACCCTCATAGGTACCCTATTGTACCCTTTTCAAGGGAACATTTCTGTACTATAGTTTGAAGGTACATTTATGTCTTAGGAAAGTACATGATTGTACTTCAGATGGTACAACTTCATAAGGTACAAAAATGTACCAAGCCTAAAGGGTACAGAAATGTCCTTCAAAAAGGAACACCCCCAGCGACAAGCATTTGTACCCTTTTTGGTACACTTTGGTACCCCTATTTCTGAGAGTGTATAATAGTTTCATTAGGAAATAAAGTGAGTTTTAATCATTTACTTACAATATAAACAGTAGGGCTGAAGTCCACATGTAACCTTTATTAAATTGGAGTGAAATTTATTTTATTCGTCCATACTGATATCTATCATCAAGGTAACTGTGTACAATCTCTCCACAGTAATCTGTGACTCTCTAGGGTCAGTGAAGTCAATAAATGAGATGGACCTATTTGCTCTACACTCATATGAAATAAACTTGTATTTTTCATTTAGTAAATAAATCAAAACCTTAAAACTTTGTGTTTAAAACTGAACCTTTTTCTTTAATTGATCGTTCTCTTTAGACTCTTATAGCTCTGGGTAATTAACAGCTATGAGTGAACAACCATTGTGTGACGGAGCTAAATCAGAGACAGCTCTTTAAACTTGATGGTACTTCTAAATTGCACTCATGGTTTCTGTAGCATGACTGCATATAAACAGGAAATAAATGTATTGGGTACTCCTTGTTACTCACCATACAGCCACCCAATAATATCGGGAGCAGACGGCTGGTTTGCTTTCATACCCGGTGAACAAGCACTCCCCTCTCAGTTCATTTACTCTATCACCCAATAGTTATTCCACTTGTATCTCCCTATGGGTTGCTGCTTTCCCCCTTCCTCACTCAGCCCTCCACCAAATTCAGCTTCATTAGCACATAACAGGCTATCAACATGCATAGCTGGGTCCTGATTTAGATGTTCAAGCTGATTAGCTCTTAATGAACCAAGACCGGCTACCTGAATGGAAGTGCACACAGTGGCATAAGACTACAATATACATGCAGGTGCGCTCCCACCACAGAAACACAATTCTAAGGATATAACATACATTTTAATAACCCGTGTTTTGCTCATTATCACACCTAAGAGAAGACATAGACAAGGCAGAAGAGACACTGAGTAATTTATGTAGCAGAAATTCTTAAACTGTTTCATCTGAAAGTGAGATCTCTGCCTCTACTAAAGAAGCCCAGGTAGTAATTAGAGATACTTTTAAACACTGTGTGCTTAAACAGTGCATATCCAACAGCTGCGTTTGATACAGACCAAATGAAACACGGTGTATCTGTGAGGCAGTCTGCTTTATAACGTTATTCAGCTAAACTGGAAAAAACACAACGCTCAGAAAGGAAAGATAAGCATAGCAACAAGGACGGGCACATTTTTATTAGTCACAGAGCGCAAGACAAAAAAAAATGTATATATAAAAACGTTCAAGATACAGTAAATGCAGACAATGCATTAAATTTGTGGTATGCGCGTTCTTAAGAGATGAAAACAGACGAGACTCTGTAATGAACGGAAATAATCGAAGCTCATGGCCTCTCCTTTATCTTTCTTTCCTCTCATTCTTCTCTGAGGGAGTTTATTAAAGACCCGCATTGCCCTTGGCTATTCAATCACTTTTCAGTAAGAAGTAATGGTTGTACTGAATGAATGCAACGGCTGGCAATTCATTACCACAATCAGACGACTAACACCCCACCCCCCCAACATCCCTCCTCTCATCTTGTGTACTTCGCCCTGCTCTTCGGGTAGTTTTCAGCATTAAGCAGAATTCGGGGCCTTGAAAACCGGGATGTCTGATCTGATTTGCACATAACCACCTTTGTTTGTTGAATCTGTTTAGTGTGCTTGTGAGCAATGCGGCGCATTCTAAGCGGAAAACAACACAATGAATAGATGAATGAAATCCTCAAATGACAAATGGCAGAACGTCACATTCACATGGAGCAGATGGGATGCTGATCATCATTTCACACCTTCTGCTCTCCAAATCTGAAGCAGAAGGGCAGGTTGATCACCAATTAAAATAACTACCTTAGTCTGAAACTAGCGTGATTTCTTTCCTTCCATGCAGCGCAACTATTAGTTTCATTACATGAAAAGAAAACTTTCAAGGCCACTGAGTGACGTTACATCTGCCACAGTTTTGTTGGCAATTTTTTTTATCTCTGCCTAAGAGCAATATACTTTTCCGCTGCCTGCAATTTTCTCATTATCGCCCACTTCCCCTCAACCACTGTTTATTTTCTCCCGTCCCTCACCCTCTGCTCGAGCTCCTGGAGTGTTTTCTCGCTGACGGGGTCCACTTTGGTCACCACCGCTTTCCTGCCCTCCAGTTGAACAATAACAGTCATAATGCAGCACATGTCCACAAGCTCTTCCTGGCATCTCCTCATCCCCGCATCCAGCTCACCTCTCCGAGACGGGTCACGCTTCAGGGCTCCCTTCTCTGCTACCGAGAAGCCCAGAAGGCCTGTCAAAACTTCATTGGACAGCTCCACGTCCAGGTAACCGGTCCCGTCAGATATTGTAGCAGAAACACTCCAAACGCCATTACTGCTGCTCAGTTTTCCCAAGAGAGTCACAATGAAAGCTTTGACATGGATCTCCATGATGTGGAGAAGTGGTTTGGACATTAAATTTTCTAGCAAGCACAAGTATGTAAAGGGTGGAGAGGTCAGAGTGACAGGAGGGACTGGGCTGCCACTCCGAGCATTTTGTTTGGACGACCTTGAAGCTTCTGTTTCGTAGCTAGTGCTCTCGGTGCCTCTACTAGACCTAAGCTGAACAGGGATCTCATTTGGTCCACTAGTCTTCCCACTGGTTTCTGCCTCTTCCAAAATGCAGTCCATATCTTCATCCACAAAATCAATCTCGTCATTAGCAGCCAAATATAATTCACGTGCTGCCTCCGAAGCTGCTGGAGAAAGAAATAGCTCGGGAGTTGTCTTGGTTAATTGCTCTGAAGCTTCTCTATTGTCCCTTTTCTGTGCGCTGGATCTGGAGTTGATAGACCCAAGTCGTGGCCCAGAGCCACTCAAAGTGCATGATTCAAACAGAGCAGCTTGGGGTTTTGTTGCTCTGTTGGGATTTCCTGTTATTCTGCTGTTCCGTGGTGTGTTTCTGTAACTGCTGTCAGATGGTGTGGGGACACTTTCATTTTCCTGGAAAATCACACTGTCCAGCTCCTCCAGGGGAAGGTCGTTAAAGTCTTCGTCAGGAAAGTCTTCGTCTGCCATGCTGTGATCTTGGATCTGTTGATGAACTGCATCGGGGGGAACTGAGTCAAAGAGGTCAGCTTCCACGTGTTCGTCATCATTTAGGTAACCCTGGTCTAAACCATTTCTGCTGCTTCGGGTCGAGCCACCTCTGTCAGAGCGGGTGGAGAGTTCACTTCTGAAAGACAACAGCAAATTATGTCGGACTGAGTTAACAGGGCTTTTAAATCATCGGGGTTAATCAGCTCACTGTTCAAAGCGCACACAGAAGACTGGACAAAGAAGTTCACACAGACATAAATTTGAAAAAACTGTAGCGACAACACTTTGCATCATCCTATCCTTGAATCTTCGTCATCACAACATTGAAACGATATAACAGCTAAATATGAGACAATGTTATTTCTCTGTGTAAGTCAATGAGGCCAGTGTAAACTAGTGACTCTGCAGTTCATTCCTCCTGGAAATAATTGTACCCTGCACAACTCGCTTAGCATTTTACATCATGACATATGAACTGTCTTTTTCCTGCATCTCAAAATGACCGGTGTACGTTCCACTTTATTCTCAGCAGCTTCTGTCTCTTCAGGAAATTGATGAACTTTAAATAAAACGGAAATTGTCGTGACATTTGAATCTACCCTGTGATTTCTCCTCCTGCTGTAGGTATACTGCCTATTTGTTAAGAATGTTGTTCTTGTCACCGGCCGCAGCGACGTAAAGACATTTTATTAGAAAACTTTGTGAAGATGCTGTAAGACGAATGCATTAAAACCATCTTAAAGTCTTTTTTTTCCCTGAAGATAAAAGTGATGTTAAAACTAGAAATGCCACGATTTCCACGACAGTGCAAAGTGAGGCTTTGCAGCATCGAAATGTCAAGACATCACATTGTTTACCACCCACCTGGACGAAGCGGCTGGGACAAGGCTCCTGATGGACGAGCTTCTCGAAGACTGAGTGGAAGCCTCATGCAGCGTGCTGTAGCCGCTGTCTCGGGCAGGTTCAACCTGAAGCATTTCAACTTCCTCTTGGGCCTCGAGACTGGCTAACAGCTCTGCATCATCAAGATCCAGATCATCCACTTCCTGGTTACCTTAAAACAAAGAGAAAAAAACAACAACAACAACATATATGTTAGTATAATTTTAAAAAATGGGCAGGTTAGATTAAAGAAGAAAAGCAAAGCCATATAAGACAGAATGTCTAAATTTCTAATAAAGTGTATGTAGTGTCACATTGTGCCGATGATGGATGATCTTTGAAGATACACAGAGTCTAATACATATACCTTGTTGTTGTGCTGGAGCCTCCTCTCCTTCCTGTTCCTGCTCAGGAAGTCCCAGTGTCCGACACAGCACCCTGCCCTATCACAACAGTATCAAAATAAGCCACTGAATGTGTATGGTGTACTCCATCTTATTGCTATACAAAATCCTATAATATCTTTGTGTAGTTTTATACAAGAAAAGAGAAATCAGAAGAAATGAGACAAAACGTACGAGAAATCGTTAGAGGTTACCTGGTTATTCCTGTCCACCAGGTCTTCGACCTCACCACCGAGGATTTTGATGTTGGACGGCCCCAAAAGCAAAACACCAAGTCTGCAAACTATCTTTCCTTGCAGCTGCAGCTTTGCACCGGGCCTGCAAGAGTCAGCAACATTTCAGGAAAATGTCTAGTTCTTATTTTTAATTAACAATAACAACAACATTTCATCCATTTCTCATTGTGCTTGGATACTTGTGTTTCTATAAAACTCGAGGCAATATTGTTAGGAGGAAAAGACTTTTATTTCATTTTAGGCAGACATGTGCCCTTTAAAATGTTTTCAAATAACTAGCAGTAAAAAGACACGATATTGCAGTAACATGTTTTACAGCTCAATCCTTAACCTGAGTGCCGCGCTGAGAGCAGGGATTGGCTGATACTCCATAGCCTCCAGGCTCTGAACTCCATCTGTCACCTGTGCAATCAAACATGTTTGATCAGAAAACACGTAAGTAATAAAAAGATTATGATGACATTTATGCAAATCTATAAGAAAAGTGTGTTTGTCTTTTTGTGTGAATTAAACAGATTAAAAGACAGTTGTGTGAATTTTTCAGTTCATTTTCTGCAGTAATCTGAGACCCCGTGGGCTGTTGTCTGGAGGCTCTCATAAATATGTGAGGGTTTGGATTTAGACAGAAATATCTGGGCCAAAACTTAACAGCTCTGTAACTGCTCTTTACTTATGAATGTAGACGTATTAAGGCATAAAGGAAAATTAGAAAAACAAAAAAAACATAGTAGATGATTTGTGCATTTGTGTAAGTTAGCATATTTAATTTAATTTTCAATTTCACTAAATAAGGGAAATATGACTATCTAAAATTTTTAAAAATAAACTGAGTTCAATTAGACTGGCCACAACCAGGTTTACTGCCAAACCTGCTAAATCAAGAAATGATTTAAATTAACACAATCTAAAGAAACTCAAAACAGCTGAGAAACAAAACATTGACATCTATCAGTCTGGAAATGATTACAAAACCATTTCTAAAGTTTATCCACAAATGGAGAAAACATGGAACAGTGGTGAACCTTCCCAGAAGTGGATGGTCTGCTAAAATTACTCTAAGAGCTCACCGACAGCTCATCCAGGAGACTCCAGAACAACATCTATTTTGGGATGTATGTACATATTTTGGGGAGAAAAAGTCTGTGGACTGATGAGAGAAAAGTTGAACTTTGTGGAAGGTTTGAGTCTCGTTACATCTGGTGTGAAACTAACACAGCATTTCATAAGAACAAAATCGTACCAGCGGTCAAACATGGTGGTGGTAGTGTAATGGTCTGGGGCTGTTTTGCTGCTTCAGGATGGCTTGCAGTCAATGATTGAACCATGAATTCTGATCTCTACCAGAAAATCCTGAAGGAGAATGTCCTTCCATCAGTTTGATCCTAAACATGTGAGCCAATCATCCTCTGAATGACTCAAAAAAAAAAACAGTCTGGTCTTATAATAACTCTGGATACTGTAGCATAACTTTAAACAGGTCAATGATACCCAAAAACCCTCCGGTGTGGCTGAATGATAATAACTCTGAAAAGATGAGGGGCCAAAATTCCTCCACAGTGATGTGAACAACTCACTCAGTTATCACAAACATTTGATTGCAGTTCTTGGTGACAAAGGTGTCACAGCCAGCTATGACATTTAGGGGCAATTATTTTTTCACACACAGTTCTAAAACAGTAATTTATATTTACTAAGTTTATGTTTGTCTAAAAATGCAAAATTGTTTGATGATCTGAAACATGCCAGCGTGACAAATATGCAAGAAAAGAAAAGAAAAGGAAATCGTGAATAATAAATAATTTTCCACAGCACTGTAGGTTGTTTAGACTCTAAAACCCATGTAGACTGATTCAGTATGGAAATAACTGTTATTTCGATTTCTTTTAATATGATTATACACGCTGGCTGCCCTGTCCTAGTCAAAGCTAATCTACGACTCTTTGATCAAAAATGGTCTGAGAAACAGTTAAAAAAGTCACAGCAACGTTTCTAAGCAACACCTGCACTGTTCTTTAAGAAAAGAAAAAAAAACATACACTGAAAAGTATATTACTTATGGTGGAAATTAGAGTCTGCCTCATATATTCCTGCAATTTACTCTTTCATATGCTCTCACTGATGGTACCGTCCGCTCTGATTCAGTCAGGAAGAGAAGCAGAATTATTCCACTCAACCAAACATACAAAGATAAAGTCTGGTCACAGATAAGTGCTGGACACACTGCGTGCCACTGCAGTCAAGACGAGTCCAGACAATATTTTCTATTAACAACACAGTTTAAAGCTCTGTCTCTACGGGAAGTGCCTGAATGTTTTTCTGTTTGTCTGTGAGACGCTGAAAAGCTACTAAGACACAGACAAACGCAGGATGCTGGATGATGCAAAAGCCAAAGCTTTAAAATGAAATTTTATGTTTTAAATCTGCAATTTTTGATCTCCCTTTTGTGACCCAAGAAGACAACTAGTATCATCACATATTCAACATCTGCTTTTTAAGGTTAACGCTGTTATTTACATAAAGGCATTCATTCAAAAGGCTTTTACTGAAACTCAATTGAGATTTTTTTTAATGGCAACTATGATTCACATAAGACTCTGACCTGCAGTAGAAGCATACGGGTGGGTTTGGCTTCCCAGGGCCTCTGGGTGGTCTGTGTGACTGCAGACACCTCGTCATTGACACAATCTGTGCCCCTCCACTTCTGCAGCTGACCATACGCCGGCTGACTGATGTCCAATAATGAGTCGACCTAAAACAGAGTTGGACCTCTTGTCATGTTTCCATTTGCGTGCACGATGATCAACCGAGCGTTGGTGTCACCAGCAAGGTGAGTTATCTGTATGCACAGCCCAAATTAATCATCACCATTAACTCAAGCGCTATATTTCCTCAAGAGCTTGCTTTGCAATTTTTTTCCCTCTCCGATGCAGGCAAAAAAGCCACAAAAGCAAAAGTAACAACAATAACAAATGTACACACAATACACACAAAAACTCCAATTTTAGACTACTTTCAAAAATCACGGATCAGTTAAATAAATGCAGCAGGAACGCCTAAATACCCCCCTCCCAATGTGAAAAGCTGAGTGACTTGCCTTTATGTGATTTAGCTCAGGTTTTATGCTGTTGGTACACATATTGTTCTCAGCCTATTGTTTGCTGTTTTTACATGCTTTTTTTTTATTTGTTTTTTTTTTTTGTTGAAAATATGATCAGAACTGTCCCCAACAACAAAAAGAATAAATAAAGAAACTGGATGAACTATGTAACATGAAAGTTTGTACCTGGACGCAGAAGTTGCCACTGAGCTCAGTCTTCTGGGCTTCAGCGAGCCCTTCTGGCAGGACAGGAAAGTCCAGGTCTCTGAGGTCTGTTAACAGCCATTGGTCCAGCGCCTGAAAAACCACATCAAGCAGTGAGATTCATTTTTGGTTCACTTACTGTCATTCAGCAGCAGTTACACATAGAGTGGACCTATTATGTTCACTTCCAGTCCCATAATTGGCTGTTCGACAACAATATTTTGGTACACTGTGTCATACAAATGATGCGTCAATACAGGGAAATATTCCCCACATGACGCCACCGCAAGCTGCGACAGCTGACGCCGAGTAGGATGGAATCATGCTGCCATCAGCTTGTTGTAACAGAAACCAGGATTTGTCAGACCAGAATGTGTCCTTTCACTCTTCAGTCACCCACATTTGCTCATTATTACCTACTCTAGCATGAGCTCCTTGTTCTCAGCTAACAGTGATAGAAATGTGTATGGTCTTGGGCTTCTGTTTCTTGGTTATCAGCCCCAGGGTTGTTTGAGTTTTGCCTTCTGCTAGCTGCATATTTGCAGTATGACGATCACATGAATGCAAAAAAGGAAGAGACACCGAACTAACTGCTGTGTCACAGATGTTATTCAGCTCAGACTGGGTTATTCTACCAAGAGTGATAAAATGTGCATGAACCACATCAAATCCACATGTTCACATCGAAGCCAGTAACCATCTTTGAGTCAAAAGTGGGGTAACCATCCACCCCGTGACCACCTTCTATCATGTGGCCCATACTTAACCCATGTCATAATAAGTGAGCGAACATCTTATAAGACAATAAGTGGAAACAAGATCTCTTAATCTATACTGGAGTTTCTGGAGCTGTGGAGAATTATCCAGAAACAGGTAGGAAAGGAATCCTTAGACTTTTGTTGACAAAAACAAAGCATTTGATTTCTGTCTATCGAGTTGTACACTGCTCCTCCTTGAATCACTACCTTATCGTGGTGGAGGGGTTTGTGTGTCCCAGGGATCCCAGGGGCTATGTTGTCTGGGGGCTTTTGCCCCCTGGTAGGGTCTCCCATGGCAAACTGGCCCTGGGTGAGGGACCAGACAAAGAGCGATTCATAAGACCCTTATGAAAAGGACACCGAGGGAACAGTTTACCCTGCCCGGGATAGGGTTACCGGGGCCCCGCCCTGGAGCCAGGCCCGGGGAGGGTGCCCGAGGGCGAGCGTCTGGTGGCCGGGCCTTAGTCCATGGGGCCCGGCCGGGCACAGCCCGAAGAGGAGACATGGGCCCATCCTCCCGCAGGCCCACCACCCGCAGGAGGCGCCATAGGGGTCGGGTGCATTGTGTGCCGGGTGGCGGCCAGGAGCGGAGGCCCTGGCGGACTGACCCCCGGCTGCCAAGACTGGCAATAGGGACATGGAATGTCACCTCTCTGGTGGGGAAGGAGCCTGAGTTAGTGCGTGAGGTTGAGAGGTACCGGCTAGATATAGTCGGGCTCACCTCTACGCATGGCTTGGGCTCTGGAACCAGTCTCCTGGAGAGGGGCTGGACTCTGTCTCAGTCTGGAGTTGCCCCTGGTGAGAGGCGGCGGGCTGGGGTGGGTATTCTAATATCCCCTCGGCTTGCTGCCGGTACGTTGGGGTTTTTCCCGGTGGACGAGAGGGTTTGTTCCCTGCGCCTTAGGGTCTGGGAACGGGTCCTGACTGTCATCTGCGCTTATGCGCCGAGTGGCAGTTCAGAGTACCCAGCCTTCTTAGAGTCCCTGGGGGGGGGGGGGGGTACTGGAGGGTGCTCCACCTGGAGACTCTGTTGTCCTGCTGGGAGACTTCAATGCTCACGTGGGTAACGACAGCGAGACCTGGAGGGGCGTGATTGGGAGGAACGGCCTCCCTGATCTGAACCCGAGCGGTGCTTTGTTATTGGACTTCTGTGCTAATCACAGTTTGGCCATAACGAACACCCTGTTCGAACATAAGAGTGTCCATAAGTGCACGTGGCACCAGGACGCTCTAGGCCGTAGGTCGATGATCGATTTTGTAATCGTATCAGCAGACCTGCGACCATATGTTCTGGACACTCGGGTAAAGAGAGGGGCTGAGCTGTCAACTGATCACCACCTGGTGGTGAGTTGGATCAGGTGGCGGGGGAGGACGCTGGACAGACCTGGTGCACCTAAACGCGTAATGAGGGTGTGCTGGGAACGTCTAGCAGAGGCCCCAGTCCTCGAGATCTTCAACGCACACCTCCGGCAGAGCTTCAACAGCATTCCGAGGGAGACTGGGGACATTGAGTCCGAATGGACCATGTTCAGCGTCTCCATTGCCGAAGCTGCTGCATTGAGCTGCGGCTGCAAGGTGGTTGGTGCCTGCCGTGGTGGTAATCCCCGAACCAAATGGTGGACACCAGAGGTGAAGGGAGCCACCAGGCTGAAGAAGGAGTCCTATCGGGCTTGGTTAGCCTGTGGGACTCTGGAGGCAGCCGACAGGTATCGACAGGCCAAGCGGAATGCGGCTCGGGCAGTGGCTGAAGCAAAAACTCGGGTGTGGGAGGAGTTCGGAGAGGCCATGGAAAGACTTTCGGACTGCCTCGAAGAGATTCTGGCAAACCGTCAGACGTCTCAGGAGGGGAAAGCGGTGCTCTACCTGCACTGTGTATAGTGCTGGCGGAGCGCTGCTGACGTCGACTGAGAAAATTGTCAGGCGGTGGAAGGAATACTTCGAGGACCTCCTTAATCCCACTGACACGTCTTCCGAGGAGGAAGCAGAGTCTGGGGATGAGGGGAATGACCCGCCAATTTCCGGGGGCGAGGTCACTGAGGCAGTTAAACAACTCCTTGGTGGCAGAGCCCCTGGTGTTGATGAGGTCCGCCCCGAGTTCCTGAAGGCTCTGGACGTTGTAGGGCTGTCCTGGTTGACACGCCTCTGCAATGTTGCGTGGAGATCAGGGGCAGTACCTGTGGACTGGCAGACCGGGGTGGTGGTCCCCTCTTTAAGAAGGGGGACCGGAGGGTGTGTTCCAACTACAGGGGGATCACACTCCTCAGCCTCCCTGGGAAAGTCTATGCCAGGGTGCTGGAAAGGAGAGTTCGTCCGTTAGTCGAACCTCGGATACAGGAGGAACAATGCGGTTTTCGTCCTGGTCACGGAACACTGGACCAGCTCTTTATCCTCTCCAGGATACTTGAGGGTGCATGGGAGTTTGCCCAACCAGTCTACATGTGTTTTGTGGACTTGGAGAAGGCATTCGACCGTGTCCCTCGGGGTGTCCTGTGGGAGGTGTTGCGGGAATATGGGGTGTCTGGCCCATTGCTACGGGCCATTCGATCCCTATACAACCGTTGCAAGAGCTTGGTTCGCATTGCCGGCAATAAGTCGGACTCGTTCCCAGTGGGTGATGGGCTCCGCCAGGGCTGCCCTTTGTCTCCGGTTCTGTTCATAATTTTTATGGACAGGATTTCTAGGCGCAGCCAAGTGGCGGAGGGCTTTCGCTTTGGTGGCCTCAGAATCTCATCTCTGATTTTTGCTGATGATGTGGTTCTGTTGGCTTCATCGGGTGAGGGCCTCCAGCTCGCACTGGAACGGTTCGCAGCCGAGTGTGAAGCAGCGGGAATGAGGATCAGCACCTCCAAATCTGAGGCCATGGTTCTCAGCCGGAAAAGGGTGGAGTGCCCACTCCGGGTCGGGGATGAGTTCCTGCCCCAAGTGGAGGAGTTCAAGTATCTCGGGGTCTTGTTCGCGAGTGATGGGAGAAGGGAGCCGGAGATCGACAGACGGATTGGGGCTGCAGCTGCAGTAATGCGGACGCTGCACCGGTCCGTCGTGGTGAAGAGGGAGCTGAGTGTAAAAGCGAAGCTCTCAATTTACTGGTCGATCTACGTCCCTACCCTCACCTATGGCCACGAGCTGTGGGTAGTGACCGAAAGAACGAGATCGCGGATACAAGCGGCAGAAATGAGCTTCCTCCGAAGGGTGGCTGGCCTTAGAGATAGGGTGAGAAGTTCGGCCATCCGGGAGGGGCTCAGAGTAGAGCAGCTGCTGCTCCACATCGAAAGGAGCCAGCTGAGGTGGTTCGGGCATCTGACAAGGATGCCCCCTGGGCGCCTCCTGGGTGAGGTGTTCCAGGCATGTCCCACCGGGAGGAGGCCCCGGGGCAGACCCAGGACACGCTGGAGAGATTATATCTCTCGGCTGGCCTGGGAACGCCTTGGTATTCCCCGGATAAGCTGGAGGAGGTGGCTGGGGAGAGGGAGGTCTGGGCCTCTTTGCTTAGGCTGCTGCCCCCGCGACCCGGCCCCGGATAAAGCGGATGAAGATGGATGGATGGATGGAGTTGTACACTGAGACAGTCGCACAGCCTGCCTACCTGCTGGTTGGTTTGCTGCTGTGACAGATGAGCTTCTCCTCCTGCCTCTCCTTGTAGCCACTCCACACAGGCTTCTAGCCAGGCAAAGGGCACCTGGACATGCCAGGAGGACTGCAGCCATGCTTGGGTAGCACGGACCACTGCCTGAATCCCAGGAGTCATCTCTTCCTCTAAGTGTATTTGGCTCTCTTCTGCTTTTCCAGCTGCTTTCTGTCAGAATATACAGACTGCTTTAGCCACATTCTTATTCCGAAGCTGCTTTAGCCACATTATTTCAATTCAGGTATTCATATCATAGTCGCACTTCTCATTAATTACTCAATAACACATTTAGAGTTTTAATCATTCACAGTTTTTATTGTCATTCAGTCAATGAGTCACTGATGCATTGACTGAACAAAATTATGTGTGCAGAAAAAAAACACACACAAAATCACAACAAAAGGTTAAAAAGACTGTAGTGTAACTGTCTATTAAATAGTAAACACTAAAAAAAAATTAATTAAGATGGTAGTGAAGAATAAAAAAATAAAAAATTTATTTACAAAAATATGTAAGTGTATAGCTGAGGTGTCTGGTGGTGGTCAGGTAAAAAAAATGCAACACAGTAGTTATCTGTAGTGCACCGTTTGTTTGTTTGTTTTACTTAATGTAGTTTTAACTTGACTGTATTGTAAGTGCAAAATATGAGAAGAGATAAAATTCTACATTTAATTTACAATGATCCCTGAGCTGAGTCCCCAGTGACCCATGACGGATTAATAGTTAAGCTGTGTTTTAACATGTTCGTTTTTAAATGAAGCCTCTTAGAATAAATTTAGCCTTGCAGTTTATCTTATTTTGTTTTCTAAGTGAGTACTCCAAATGGGCAAAAAATTAATAATAATTCAAGGTAAAGTGTTGAATGTTAACCCTCACTAGATTGCAGGATGAGCTTTTTTGCACACTAGTCTCTTTGTAAAGCCCTCAAACCACTGGGACCATTTAGAAAAGACTGTTTTATAACAAGAACATAATATTATTGTATCTGATTGTTTTCTTGGGTTATTTGAACAAGGGCCCTGTGCTTCGTACGTCGCTTACTACATCCAAGATCAAATGAAACATCCAAGATCAAATCATCGCGCTAACCGTGAGCTCGCTAATCCGGTTCCCCGAACACACCTGCTGTTGACGATTAGTACAGCTGGATGAAGTAATGTGCGATCACTGGGTGCCGTAAAAGGGGATACGCATCGATAGCAGAAACAGTGATCGGCAACCCGCTGATTGGTCGGCGAAAATGGCGAAGGAGCGCGCTCGGTATTTTTCGGCAGCAGAGCAAGAACTCTTGAGTGAGGGATTTCAGGAGTTTCAGAGTTTAATTAAAACGCAAGGGAACACTGCAAAGGCTGCAAAAGCAAGGAGAGAGGGCTGGCAGAAAGTTGCTGACAAATCAAACTCGTAAGTAATCCAATAATAACAATAATAATGGAGTGGATTTATATAGCGCTTGTCAAGGCACCCAAAGCGCTTTACAATGCCACTATTCATTCACTCTCACATTCACACACTGGTGGAGGCAAGCTACAGTTGTAGCCACAGCTGCCCTGGGGCAGACTGACAGAAGCCAGGCTGCCATATTGCGCCATCGGCCCCTCTGGCCAACACCAGTAGGCGGTAGGGTAGATTTATCATATCACACCATATTATCCAATATTATATTATAATATGTTATATTATATCCCCTTTCACATTAGAGCCACAACAGGACCCACTAGAACATGGGAACAAGTAAAAGTGAAATATAAGAATATTCTACAGAATGGTAATATTTATCACTTATATTGCTTGTCGTCTCTTGGAAAGAGACCCTGGAATACTCTGTTTGTTTGTTCATAACAGCAACCAAGAAAAGGGCAGAGCAAAAAAAAAGACAGGTGGTGGTCCTGCACCCCCTCGTCAACAAGTTGGTTAAGTGAATAATACCCTCACGGGAAAATCGATATCTCTCTATGAGCACACTGTCGCGCTGAGCTAAAGGATCCTGTCTGTCCCGCAATATACGCTGAATTCTGAGGACTCTCCTTATCAATCTTGCACCTTCCGCAATGGGTTGCTCGCGTAAACGGACAGGATATGACTGCGACAGACTTCCCAAATCCACCTTCGCTTTTATAGCCGTGGTCTCTCATCTTGATTACACGAAGTAATTTACAATTACTACTCTGAAATATGAATTACATCTGTAATAATCACATACATGTAATAGAATGTTAATAGTACATTTCCCTTTTTTAGGAAATGACCTGTGTGAAATCAATAAAAGGATCAAGTGCTGCATTATCTTTAGTTACATTGGTGTTATTTATTTATGCTGAAACAGTGGTGGAATATCGCTGTTGCTTTCGTATGAATGACGCGGACATACCTGCGTGGCCGCGATCTAATCCTGTTTACATAAAGTAAACCTGCTCCCCAGCAGGTTTACGCTTACGGCTCTGTTGCTATGACAGCAAGTCCCGGATGGGCTTCGGGGAACCGAACGATCCAGGATCACGCGAAATCGTCAACAATCTAATCCAGCTAACTCACTTAGCGCGGTACGAAGCACAGGCCCAAGGTAACCACACTGTCCCTGTACATGATCTTAAGCAGACGTAAACAGATGTTGCAGGACTGAACGGTTTATTAATTTTAAATTGAAATCGCCAATGAAAACAGTTCAATTACGACAAATATTTCGGATGTCTTTATCATTATCATTACCTTACAAAAATTATGTTTATGTCTTGCAGGTATTTCATGCAGTTGTGCTTTTAAACGTAAAGTATGAAAAACAAATGACATATAGCTTTGAGAATATGCATTTCAAATCAAATCGGGACTGCGAAAATATCAGAAAAATTATATATTTTTCCCAACATTGTCCAGCCCTTCTGTTGGAGAGCATGAAAGGGATATCGGGTAAGAAAAACTTTACCAAATAAAAGTGTTTATAACCATTTAGCTGGTATGTATATGTTACCTGAGAAGCACGGGGGCAGACTCGTCCATCAAGTATTGCACAAGTAGGTAGAAAGGCGCCAAAGTTGATTAACCCAGCCTACTTATATAACAAACCTGAACACAAGCATCCAGCAGCAGAGGTCCCTACTCACAACAGAAGGCCTTAAACCAAACACTCGTGTCGGAAAAACGTGACCATTAGCCTTGCAAATTGCATCTTTCTAAACTGGAATAACTAGAAGGGCCACAGTTAACAGTCGATCCATGTCCGGAAACAGACTGGTATGTACCGCCTCGGTTCTCGTGATTGGCGTTCGTTGTAGCCAATCGGATTTATCGCCTGCTTGAGTCGCTCTCCGTTCAGCCAATCAGCACACGGTGAGTCGTCTTATCATTTTATTTCCAGGTTCGGTGGAGAAGGAAGAGGCAACTAGCGAGGTGTTTGCTGCAGGTTTGTGTTTTGAAGATATATATTTGTGCTTTTTGTTGTTGAACTGCACGGCTACTATAATGAGAACTACGCCTTTAATGTTTGTTTGCTCACTGTGTTGCTTGTTTGGTGCAACCCGCTCTGCTTGGCTGCGTTTGTGCTGAACCGAAATTAAGGCAACATGGCGAAAGTAGCTAGCTGCTAGCGTGCGCGACTTAGTGTACTCTTTGTATTGATCGATTGGTTATATTTTAGCAACTCGTTCGCGTTAGATCCGTGTCGCGTTACTGTTCGCATTTGAAGCGCTAAGTGGTGCAGGGTAGTAGGGAAGTTTTAAATTCCAATGTGAGCGCAAGAACTCGAAGCGTTTCACTGCGGGCTGGCTAGCTCCGCCGACGGCTAACCGCACCTTAGGCAACGGTCCCTATGTTAGCTTTAACCGGACCAGCTTACTTTCGATTTGGTCACCAGTTCACTATCTTTTGGCTGCTATTGGTTAATATAGTATATATTACTTATATTAAAAAAACAACCCTCGCCTTGTTGTTTTTAGCAATAAGTTATTTTTTGGTCTGCCATTATATGTTAGTGTTAACTATTTAACTCCTGATTATAAAGCTGTCGCGGTTTCTCCTCTCTTCAGCCAGACAAACCCCGTGCGTGATCACATTACAGCTGATAACATTTAGCAACGGTGTTCATTCTGATAACAGTGGTCTTAGTTGATTATCGGTCACTTCAGATAAAATATAAGAATTTAAACCCATCATTGGTGTTTACCGAACTGTCTTCTCGCGCTCTCTATTTATATGCCATCATTTCAGTATTTTAAATTAGCCTCTCCCTCTCTTTCAGGTCGCAGGAGTTGTTTGGTTCTTGCTCCGGTAGTTCCGCCTCTCAACACGCCCTTGTTCTCCTAATAAATATCGGTGAGTCTCTGGGATCGGCCAGTTTCTTCCATGTCAGTCCTGCGATCTACTTTACTCAGATGATTTGTCTAATTTCTTCATTTTTTTTCTTGCTCTTACAATGATAACAAAAAACCTCAGCTCACAGGGGCCAGTTTTCTGCTTCTCCCTCCCAATTGCTACCATCTCTATCCCTGATCGAGGTGTTTGGCTCTTCTATTCTTCTGTTAGAAGACGATGGAGACAGATATTGATCAGCAAGAAGAGGCTTCATTCAGCAACACAGAGACTAACGGTAAAAACCTTATTTTAAAGTTTTGCATGTTGTTTAAATACATCAGATTTTGGACACGGTTGGCAAATCTGTGTATTTGGAGATTAAAGTAATTGCTTTTTTATGTTACAGTAAGGGATCTAAATATTCACTGGTCTATGTTTAAAATTGTGTTTGTGTATTAAAAGAAGTCTTTTCTTTCTTAGATGTGCAGAGGGAGATTTGTATATGTTTAGCTTATAATGGGAGAACAGTTTGAAATCACTTTTCTCTTTCGATTGAATAGTTAATTTATCTTGTTGAAGCGTGTGCACGTGCACGCTGGCGCAGTGTTGTCATGCTGTGTTTTTATCTCCTTTTGCCAGGTAAGCGCCCCGCTGAGGATGCAGATGAGCAGAAATCATTCAAGCGCTCCAGGAACTCGGATGAGATGGTTGAGCTTCGCATCCTCCTGCAGAGCAAAGTAAATCAGCTTCTCTTTCATTTCACATTTCATGTTGAATCCTTATGTGATTATTTATATTTTTGTCTCATTCTTGTGGGTAGCCCTTCAGTAAGACTGACAATGTCTCCTACTCAGACCATTTTGTTTTTTGTTTTTGTTTTTTAAATGTATTTTTCATGGTTTTCTTTCTGTTCACCTCATTACATTTATGCCTTTTGAATAATTAATTTCCAGGCTTCATTATATTCATAAAGTACTTCTCCTCACATTTAATTGTAATGTCTTTTAATTGCAGCACCATAATTAATATTTACTCTTCTTATCTGTTCTTTGTGTTTTTAGAATGCAGGAGCTGTAATTGGGAAGGGTGGCAAAAACATCAAAGCCCTGCGTACAGACGTGAGTACATCTATTCTATGCAGCCTGAATTTTAATTTTGTTTAGGATTTTAATTTTTTATTCTATAGTTTTTCTATCTCTCTCCTTCTCTCTTTCCACTGGCCTCTAAAACCTGACTAGCCTCTCTTATGGGACAGCAGTTTTTGTTTAAAATTTTTTTTTTTTTTTACAGTAATAGCTATTCAAATATATTTAAATATTTAGCTTTGTATTTTCTTACATGTAAACAAGGCAAAGTTTCTAAGCCTCCTGTTCATTAGGTCCTCTGACAAACCAGTTGGGGTTGTGTTTATCTTTGTTTTTTGTTTTGTTTTTCTTCTCACATAAACATTATGTAATCATCTAAGCTAAACTATCCCTAGGCACAAAGGCCCAATTTCATGTCCATTTGTTTCTTCACAATGATAATTTATTGTCACACTGCTGATGTGGAAACACTGGTGCTCCTGTTAATTTAAATTTATGAGCACAGTGCTGAGTTTGTAAGGTCACCTGCTGCTCAAGCTAACTTTTTTTTTTTCCCTTCTTTTTTGTGTTTAGACAAACAGGCCAGTTGTTAATTCATTGAGTTTCATTGACTTTCTCTAGCCCTCAGCAATTTGTTGTCCCCCTCTTTTCTCACTGTCTCTGGTTTATTCCCCAACATTGAACTCTTCATGATAATGATATGCCATTACCCATTTTCCAATGTCACTTTTCCTCCTTTTCTCTCTTTGACAAACCAATCTCTGAGAGAATCAAATTAAAGTAACATTTGAACAGTGTAGAGCCTGTATATTAAAAATGTATTCCTCTTCCCTCTTCCCTCTCCCCTTGTTTATTATTTTACTGTTTACTTTTTTGCCCACTTCCTCCTCTGTTGCCCATGTTCTGGATGGCCCCTCCTGCGCCGCCCACCTGACACCCTGGTTGGCCCTGCCCATAATCGTGCCCTGTCCTTAAATGGGCGCCTTACTTGATTGACATCTGTGCTCGAATGGCCCTGGCCCCTGCCCATGCCACGCCCAGTACAAAGCCAGTGTGTCAGTCCCAGACAGCAGTGGGCCTGAGCGGTATGTCCCTAAGCTCCTCCCTCTCACTGCCTGACTACAGGTCAAATAAACAAGAAGAGATGAATAGTCATCCTGCCTCTGTCCAGTCACTGTATTTTTAAACTACCTGTTCATACAATATATTAGCCTGAGTCAAAATGCCTAAATACCTTCATGTCCAAATCTGCCTGTTGATCCAGTAAAAGCCATGTGAACAACCTTTTATATGCCATTTTTAAAGTCACGTCAGCATTTAAACTTAGGCTGGTGTTGTCAGGGTTTTTCTGCCACTATCTTTTTAAATCTTTGCTATAATCTGTGCAATATGTCCGTGTGTTTTTGTGGTTCCTCTTTTGTTTGTTTGTTTGTTTGTTTTTAAGTTGATCATCTATCCTCTTTATCTTTCGTGTTTTCACTTCCCTCCCCCTTTCAGAGTGGATATACTGGTGTTATTTTTAATTTTTGTTAGTTTCATGTCCTCACTTGCTTCATCATCTCATTCCTTCCTTATGAAGCCCTTCTTTTATATTGATAAACTACAGTAGTCCATCCATTCTGAAATGCAAAAGGCAAGCTGAGATTCAAGTGTTGTGGTGTTTTTTTTTTTTTTTTTTTTTTTTTTTTTTTTTTTTCCTGTCTTCTGCTTTATCTGAACTTGGTTGACTGCTGAAGCCATTGAAAATACAGGATATCTCTGTCCTGCTCATTTTTGCATTCTTTGGTTTTATATTTATTGCTTCCTCCATCCCCATAAAAAGCAAACAAAGCAAACTCGAGTGGTGGCAGACTTCATTTACCATGGTGTAATCTGCTCTTTTACTCTTCAACTGCCAACATTCTGCTCCCATGTAAAAACTGTGCTTAAGTTTTCCTCCTCAGTAACTAGTGTTTATTGTACTGTCACTAGGTGGGTGTGGACACCAACATTTTAACTACAAATTGACTGTCCAAACTATTTATTTATTTAAAAAAAAAGAAAAAAAAAGTTGCGTGTAATTTAAAAAAAAAAGCGATGGGGTTATTTATTTGATTTTCCTCTGCGATTTTAAACGTACTGTTTTGCGCATTTTGGGGTCTTTGTGGTCAAAATGTTTGTGGTTTGCATCCACCAAACTCTGCTTTAAGATTTTAGAGTTCTCTTTGGCACCATTGGTGCTCATTCCTGCCAGTTCCTCCTCAAACCTCCCTTGTCTCCCCTCTTCAGTGGTCACCAAATGCAGTCACTTTTCTTTGGGTCCTTTTAATTTTGTCTCTTTGCTTTCCTTCTCTGGACAAAGACTTTCCTTTTCATTGCATTGTTTGGGTGCCAGCTTTTTGCCAGTTACAGAGGTTAAAAAAACAACCTTGACCTAACATGTAAAGTTTAGAAAACCAAAAAAAAACTGGACGCAAATATTTAATTTAGCTGTGTTAGTCTCATTGAATCATTATTTGGTGTTTGACAGTTTTTTCTATGGCAAAAAGGGGGATGGTATGAATTCTATAATCTAAAATGTTGTTCCCTTCCTCCTGGGATGCCTTGCCGGCACCCCAACCCCACCCTCTAATTGTTACGCATGGATGAATTCTGAAGCATCCTGAGCATCAGTGCAGACATTGAAACTGTTGGAGAAATCCTGCTGAAGATTATTCCAACATTGGAAGAGGTGAGCACTTTTATACCCCCGTTTTATTTAATTATTTATTTTTCCCCCTCTGATTTTAAGTTATTGCAAAACTAGTTGTTGCAAATGTGGGTTGCTTTGAAAATTTCATATGCTTGTTGTAGGTGTGAGCGTGTTTGCCAGTATGTGGTTTTTA